ACTAGAAAAGAACAGATTGTGTTTCTGTTTCACTTCATCCATCCATGACTGTAAATTTGTGTCATGGGAGGGCTGATGCTGAGTCACACACTTTCTTTAAGTTTGAAGGGTATTTTTTTTTTCAATTCTAAATCTGTTGTTAAAGCAGTAGAGATGGCACCCGATCTATTAAATGGAGATATTTAACTGTGTTTGCTTTGCTTGTCCTTATAAATATTCAGGTCAGAAATTCTCTGACTAAAGTTGTTTTAGTCAGAGAATTTCAAAGGTGTGCTCTCTCATTACACTGCACCATGTAAAGCAGCTCCATTGCCTGCGTATTAGATTTAGTTGGACAGAGAACATTCTGCTAATTAATGCTGCCGGCAGGCTGTGTGTGAGTGACTGTGTGTGTTTATGTGTGTGAGCCAGTGTCTGTCTGTGGCTGTTTCAGAGTGTGCTGAGCCGAGATCTGTGGACCTCATTAGCGTTTTTGTGCGCATGCTTGGCTGTCTCACTGCCAGTGTGCACGCAAGAAATGTAAATGTTATTTCTGTTTGTGTGAGTGTGTGCATGCATGTATGTGTATCTGTGTTTGCCTGTCACACTCCTCTGAGGCAGGATACACAGGCAGATGGGCAGAAATTTGCATCAGCAGCAGTGTCGGGAATCTTTCTGATCTGTCCGTTTATAACGCGTCAGGTGGCCTTCCTGCAGAGAACCTGGGCAGCTCTCTTTCTTCTCAGGAAGAAAGACATGCAGAGACAGGAGCAGAGAACGAGAGCAGGCAAATAAAGACTAAGGGGAATAAACCAACAGAAAAAAAAGGAGTCTGGATTTAAGAGACATGAAGGAGTAAAGGAGTAATGACCAGAAGAGATAGAGGGAAAAGAAGTTCATGTAGAATTATTATTTTTATGCAGGTTTAAAACTAATACTAAACCCATATTAAAACTGGTCACTCCGCTCCAAGTAACACATGCGTCAACTGAAGTAATGACAAAAAGATCACAATGTCCTTGTGCCCCCGTATGGCTTAGAAACTATAAGCACTTCTCTACTCCATTGTCTTTTTCATATTCAACTGTATTTGAATTGAGCCATTGCTAAGTATATGACATGAGATCACATGAAAAATTATTACAATAAACAAAATATTGATTTTTTTTAAACAAACTTTAAGTTTTTATAAAATTCCCATCACTTTCTTCTTCTTCTATTCTTCTTCATACACACAGCTTTAAACCCATTCTCATTCTTATGTTGCCTGAAAAAGCCATTGTCACCAAGTCACCATTATGTTTTCTAGAATATAATACTTGACACTTATGAATTATAAATGCCTATGGATTCCAAGCAGCCTATTTTTAGAGTCACTCATACACGTACACACATAGATTGCATTTCAAGGCTGGGGTTTTGTCCCTGCAAGCACTACTTTTATAGACTGCTCTGTACTGTACTGTGAACGAATTTACTACAAGTACTGGAAAGTACTGTATGTTAAAAAATAATATAGTATAGTCAACTAATCACATAAAAATGAAATCATAACTATCTATATTTGATGTGAGCATCTCCAGTTCTCCTGGGTACACGTGCAGTTATTCAATCTTGGAAAATGTGCCACAGGTCTCTGGATTTTAGACTGGCTCACTGTCTTTTGTCTCTTGATATAATCTCTGCATGGTGTGTTTAGTGTGGGGCTCTTTGTTCGCCTTGTGTTTGAAGATAATTCTTTGACTTACCACGTGCTGGGATTTTGTTGCTATGCCATCGACTGACTTTGAAATGAATAAGATGTTTTTCTCATGGTCTTGAGTGATGGTTATACTTACATGGGGTGGCTGTAGCTCAGGTGGCAGAGCAGGTCAGCCACTAATCAGAAGGTCGGTGGTTCGATCCCAGGCTGCCTCCTGGCTGCATGTCATATATCCTTGGGCAAGATGGGCCCGGTGGCGCCAGTATCCGGCAGCCTCGCCTCTGTCAGTGCAGCCCAGGGCAGCTGTGGCTACAATGTAGCTTGCCATCGTGAATGACTGAATGTAGTGTGAAGCGCTTTGGGGTCCTTAGGGACTAGAAAAGCGCTATACAAATGCAGGCCATTTACCATTATATCACATAATATTTAGCAAGTTTTATTGGATTTTGTTCATTGATGGATAGAATGCTTTGAGACTTCTGCACAGCACTGTATGGTTGTACACATGTGAGGGCATCTGTGTGCATGCATGTGATTTGTTTTGCATGTTTGGTTAGTCTATGCAAATGTGCATTTGTACAACTTCAGACACTTCTTCAACACTACAACTTCAAAAATGTAATGATAGGTGGCTGGGTGGTGTTTGTGTTTTCAGTGGAAACACTGTTAAATGCCCATCTAAATGATTTATTCCATTTGTTTGTTGCCATAAAAGGGAAATTTCTTTCAACACCCTGTATATTGGCAGATGAATAAAGATAATCATTTGAAAAACATCTTGAAGTCACTTTGTACTGATGACAGAATGGTGCAGTGAGTTTAACTTTCTTTGGAGCGCTCAGTTGTTTCCATGGAGACAGACGGAGAAGATTTTAATTTGCAAACAAAGTGAGTCAAATTATAGGATGCTTATCACTGTCAGTGCTACTCCTTGTGCTTAAAGAGATAAAAACAACAGATGCATTTGTATTTTTATAATGACAAACATATCTGAGCTGAGATGAAAGCTAAAACCAAAGTCACTGATTGAAGTTCATATTTTAAGTTGGGGTAAATAACTGAATCTGTCAGTATGAGGCAAGTACACAATAATATCTGGATGCACTCTTTTCATATCCAAAATATTCCACTAATAATGTGTGTATATTTGTGTAGGTCAGGATTTAATCCCTCTAGCTAACGTCAAAGTCCTTCTAGAAGCATGACTTACCACTTGGCAGCCATATTGGTAACTCTTCTGGGGCGATCGTGGCTCAAGAGTTGGCAGTTTGTCTTGTAATTGGAAGGTTGCCAGTTCGAGCCCTGGCTCCGACAGTCTCAGTTGTTGTGTCCTTGGGCAAGACACGTCACCCGTTGCCTACTGGTAGTGGTCAGAGGGCCCGGTGGCGCCAGTGTCCCACAGCCTGGCCTCTGCCAGTGCGCCCCAGGGCAGCTGTGGCTACAATGTAGCTTGCCATCACCAGTGTGTGAATGGGTGGATGACTGAATGCAGTGTAAAGCGCTTTGGGGTCCTTAGGAACTAAGTAAAGTGCTATACAAATACAGGCCATTTACCATCTTCTGGGTAGTTATTTCATAAGTGTATGGGGAGCGTGTGAATAAAATTGACAGTCAAGTCTGATTCAAATTGCTTTTAAAAAGTATGTTGAATGCAAACTAAACTATGTGGATTATCTTGTCTTCTTCCTGTCACCCCAACCGGTCGCAGCAGATGGCCGCCCCTCCCTAAGCCTGGTTCTGGTGGAGGCTTCTTCCTATTAAAAGGGAGTTTTTCCTTCCCACTGTCGCCAAAGTGCTTGCTTCAGTTGTGATTCAAAACAAGCTTCTTTTTTTTTTTACCTCAAGTCATAGTTGCTATATCAGAATGCTGTTCTCCTAATACTCACTCTGTAGTCAATGCTGTGTTCATAGTGTAGTGTGTATATGTGTGTATATAGTGCCGGTTTACACCAAGAGTCATTTTAAGGTAAAGGTACGGAACTGGAGAGGGAACACTAGCAATCTGGTCATTCCCTGTGAGTGAGTAGGCAGAACTAGGGTGAAGAAGAGGCACTTAAATCGCCCGCCCCCGATTTAAGTGAATAGTTCAACCCACCCATGGTGACACTGATATACTGTTGGACCCTGGATATTGCTTAGCCCTGCAAAATCTGGACTTCCTAAAACATAAATCAAAGCCAGGCCTTGTGAACTACTTTGGTTTACAAAGCTGCACAGTAGCATTTGAGAACCTGATATAAGAAAGTGAGTAGTAATCCACAATTCTTTTGTAGGCAGAGTAAGAATCGCAGTTTAGGGTGTTTGAGCAGCAGTGCATCTATGCTCCCCCAGAAAAGAAACGATCTGGGCTGGGTGCCTGCTGGGTGAGCTATAAATAGCCTAATAGTGATACCAGGATTTCAAGTCTAGTGTGTGAGAGAGCATCTTCCAACAATGTCTATGTTTATTAGTTAAAACATAAACATGCATCTCATTTTTGTTCATTGCTCCTGTACTACAGCTTTACTAATGTTGGCAACACTTCAATTACTATTTAAGCCTAGAGTAGGATTAAAGACGGAATCAAACCTAAAAATAAAAATGTAACAATCATATTTTCTGTTTATTTGAGGGGTTTTTCTGAAGCTAGGACAAGTCAGCTGGTAGGAATGGTCTACAATTTTGTCTCCTATATCTGCTTTATTTTTGTTCACCTCTTTCCTATTTGATCAATTAGGAACATTTAGATGTGAGGCATTAGCAGCTAGCAGGGTTGTATTAAATTACCTCCCACTGTGAAGCCATTGCCAACTCTAGTAATTGGGCCTCATTTTTTTTCCTTCCATGAGAACTGCTGTGAAAATATTCATGGTTGTTACATGAAGAAGAAATTATTCATTATTCAAGGGGATACATTATTTAAATAATCTGCTAATGTTAGGTTTGATGTAAGCTGTTTGCAATGTTTCAACTGTACTGAACTGTGAAGGACACTTGCCGCATGTCTGTATGTATAAAATCATTGAGCTCCAGTGGGTTTCCTCTCAAAGGCCTTGTTGACCTTTTCACCCTCATTTTTCTGCCAGACCTGCCTGTGTGAGCAGCTTTATCTGGAATAAGATGCTTGAATGTCAAAGGGTGTTAATGGAAAACTCCAGGGTCAAAATGTCTAGAAACCTGCTATGTCGGGTTTAAATCAGGTTTTCCATTTTGCTTCAGACTGAAAAATTACAAAGATTGATTGGGCCTCATAATTTCGAGATTCTGTATCTGCCACTGGCTCACATGTTAAGTCAATCAAATAGAAAACTCTTTCTAACTGTGATTTCCTTTTGCTTAGGTTCAAACTTCCTCTGTGCCACCCATATCATCCCTGTGAAGAACGAGGAGGGTGTGGTCATGATGTTCATCCTGAACTTTGATTACATCCTGGATGAAGGCAGCAGTGACTCGCTGGAGAGACTAAACCATACCTCACCTTCTAAAGCTGATCAATGTGAGTAAAAACATGCAAGGCCCAGGCAGGAGAAGGTCGGTGCTAGACGACCGTCTGTGACATTTGGTCGGAGCTTTTATTCGTTCCCAAAATCTGGTTGTGTTTGTACCATTAAGTAAATATAGTGTTAGAAATAATACACGTATAAAGGTGGACATATATTAGAAATACATAAATATACTAGAGACCTACTATAATCTTAACGTTGCACATGCTGCTGTCTGCTATAATTGATATTTCACTTTAGTATAACTGATCCGCACTTTGTGTTTACGCCTTTTTTTGCGCTGATTCTAAAGCTGTTAGTTTCATCTCTCTCCAAACAATATTGACCGAACCAGCAGCAAAAAAGATCCAAACTATGCTTCACAAAAACATCGTCATGAATTCCCTCTGACTTTTGCTGTTTTGCTTCCACCACACTTCATGCACAGCTCTCTCTCTCTTTCTCAGTATACTTCAAGAACAGTTTCCCGTCTAAAAATCTGTTTTCTGCATTATTCGCTTGCTTGTTACGCACAAGTCTGCCGTTGTTTACAGCGCTGTCGGCCGCTGTTTTTTTCCTTTTACTTGCTTCCGAAAAGAAAGCCTCATTTCTGCTGTTCAATAGGCTTCTGAACAAATGTAAACTTTTTAAAATTATGCAAAATGCA